CCGCCCCCAAATCCTGCCAAGCTGGAGGCAGTGCACACGCCCAGCATCCTGGTAAGGAAATTTTCCGAAAGATGCACATCATTGAAAAAGAAAAGGGGAAAAACGAAGGAGGCAAACAAACCAACCCCGTTGCGTCGGGATGCCCGTGGAGCTTCCCTCCCGGTTTAAGACCAGGCACCGCCACCCTCCTGCACGAGGGCAAGCTGCAGGCAGGCAAGCAGAAAAATTCGTGTTTAAAAAACTGCATTTTGCCCAAAATCTTTTTGCCTTGGTGACAGCCACCTCCCTCTGACGTAGGCAGCCAGTGCCTGACGTTGCTGAGGAAGTGCCGGCGTTCGCCCGGCCGCCTTTGGCTACCGAGCCCAGCGCCGGCCCGCAAGGCCGGGGCGGCTTTTTCTCCTCAAAGGGTTTTTAGCTCTGCGGAGGACGTCAGCCTCACCCATAAGCTCTTAGCTCCGTGCCTTCCCCGTTACGCGTTAAGAGTGGCTGCCTACTACTCAGATTACCCCGTGCCCTTAAAAAAAGCAAAGTGAAATGTTCTACAGTCCCTGGGGGTGGACGAGGACAGGGTACACCAACCCCAAACCAAAACCAAAACCCAAAAAACGATGGACCCATCATACTCGTAAGTGCAACACACCTGCATTCAAAATTTGTTTTTATTCAGGAAGTGAAATTAAAACTTGTAAACTATAAATACAAATGGCAAGGTATTACATGAGATATCCAGAGGCTTTATATTTTTTAATTTCTCACAAATAATTCCTAATGGAATTCAACATAAAACAGGGAAACCAAACAAGTTTAACTTTTGCATACAATGAAAAACAAGTAACAGAGTTAGATACTGTCAATTTGCCAATGTGTAAGAGTTTCTACCTCATACAAATGAAAGCTCATAAATCAACTAGAATTCTTTCAGTAACGGTACAGCAACTGTCATTTCTAACAGTGTTATCTGCATTAAGCAAGCTGTCTATAACCAGGTGTACTTCACCACTGTTTACTCAGTGACATCACAAAGTTTTAAAATACTTTATTTATATACTGTCACCAATATATGTACTGCAAAGAGGGCCAAACACTTGCAAAAATGTAAAGTTTTACACAACATTTGCATGAATATTTTTGCGCTTTTTTTTCCCCAAACAGCAAAGCAGAGCCATTGGTTTCACATGATTTCTTTAATTTGTCAAAAAACAACCCCGCATCGCTTATGTATATCAAAGAGCAAACTTAAACTTTCCTTTATGCATTCTCTGGTAAGGAAAAAAGAGGGTATTACCCACTTTAGATACTACCTTCCGTATATCTCAAGAAAAATGACCACCAAGAATAGGCTCACTGAATTTATTTAAAAATCATGAAATGTTTCTTCCAAAAGAGCGTTACATTCTGCACAGTTCTCTCAAAGGATGCCAGGGACATGTGGCCTACCAGTATTCACCCCCCTTTAAAAAAAAAAAAAACAGTGTACATAAAGCAGGGCGTTCACAACAATTACAGAAAAACAGTACAGTTTACCACTACCAATGAACAAAAAAATAAAATTCACTCTCTCTGCTGCTGCTTCAAAATTTCAATGTTAGTCTCGTGCGCCCTTCCCCCCCACACGTATTTGTAAGGAACTAAAACATTACAGCTGGTGGACAGCAAAGATTCCACTACACCTCAAATGCAGAACACCTATGAAGCAGAGGAATGTTGGCTTTTTAAACAGAAGCAGATAAAAAAAAAAAAAAACAAAAAGGTGCAGGACTCCTTCAGTTCTTCACTAGTCTTAGAAAAACTTTCCAGAATACTGCTTCACACTATAAAAAAGAAAAAATAATCTTGCATTAGAATCCTTCAACATCTGCATACTGCTTCACACTATAAAAGAAAAAGAAAAAAGCATGTATTAGAATGATGGACCATACATCTTGCATCAACATTCACAATGACATTCTTAGAGCAGATTAAATTACAAATTTCTTACACATTTAAAAGTAAATAATTTTAAAAGATTAATGGCTAATAATTATAGGTATATTAATATATTTTAGGCACATTTAAGTACTACTAATCTAAAGCCAAACATTCAAGTTAAAACATTAAAATCTGCTATGACAGCCAGCATGTTAATAAAGCAAAGCTAAGCAAATTAAAATCTGAAGCTGTTAATATTTGGCAGAAAAGACAAAGTCATGTCAGCAAGGTGTGAAATGCTGCATTAACAGCACCAAATCGATTTCAACTTTTCCTGTAGAGGCATGGTCTGTGCCATATGGCAGACTGTGATTTGTTGTCAATTTAGTTATCTAAAAACAACAAAATCACTAGTCTTCCACACAGAACTAGACCAACATCCACTGAAATCTTCTATATTTTCTACAGGCTCTATGTAATTTATTACAAGTAGTTTTTTTGCAGCAGTTTTCACCAGAGAAATGAGAGGACTGCTTGGTTAAGGTGTCTTCCAGCAAGATTAGTTTTGAGGGTGTGTCTTCATTTTAATTAGAATGGAGAACAGAAGAAAATCAAGGCACAACTAGCGCTGGAGAAGTTAGGTTCAAATTGTTACTTAAAACCTGCCTTCTAGAAACTCTATCACAGAGAAGAGCCATAGAATGTACAAGTCAGTTTAAAATTAACAGCAGGGACAACATTTAACTTTAACTTGCCTGTTCTGCAGTAAATACTGTGCATTTTGTATCTGGTCCTGTGTTCCCGTAATAGTTATTATCCGATCTTCCGAGCCCTCTAATGGTTCATCAATTTTGATCGAAGCTCCTGACTCATGACGTATTTGTTTGATTCTCTGGCCTCCCTTTCCAATAATAGATCCTGCCAGCTAGGGGAAAAAGCAAAGCATTCACTTCCTGATACAACTTTTTGTCTAAAAACAGTTACCAAAAAAAAAAAAAAAAAAAAAAAAAAAAAAAATCACAGCAGTGTTTGAGTAGCTTCCATAAGTTTAGTTTTAAGAGTTGCAATGGAAGCTTACTTCTTTACAGCCTCAAAACATCTCCTGCAGTATTTATTGTGTAAACACAGGTGGGATAAAACTGGGAAAACCAGTTGCTCATTTGCAAGAAATAAGTTACACAGACCATCTCTATTACTGAATATTAACATTAATAACATTGCTTAGTGTGTCTCTAAAGTGAAGACACAAAACACACACCTGAAGAATAGACTTCTGGTGATTTAGAAACACGTTTTTTATATTGGAAGTATTCATCAAGCACCCTGAAGTACTTCTGATTTATTCATATAGTCGTAAGAAAAGGCTGTGACTTTCTTTAAGAGAAAACACAGGCTGAAAGCAAGTCAACTTTACTTACATCTTTGGGAATCGTTACTTGTGTCGTGATGATGGGTCCACCAAGATCTCCATATGAACCACGCCCCCCTGCGTAAGAATAGTCTGATTTAAACGTATGCATCAAGCCCTTTGATAACTACATAATGAAGTGCATGCAAAAGTTCTATATAAATACTTACCATATCCAGATCCACCCTCAAACTGTAAGAGAAAAGAGAAAAAAAACCCCTTAAATAGTGAACAGCCATGCTTCATTAATATGTTTTCTTCTTGAGTATCATATCGTTAACTTTGAGCCTGTTTTATGCAAAAATCTGAACACCCAACCTTACTCTAAATGTTACAGTGTTGTGCCCTCTGCCTCAGTATGCCTTTGATGCACACCAGAAACAAAAAGGATGGGTGGGGGAAGTGTCAACCTCTCATCCTGCCCTGTCAAGACCTCTAGGAGTAAGGCACAAAATGACATAGATGATCCAGCCATACCAGTTTACCAAGCAGCTGCACTAATTCAACTGCTGGTAGACAGCTCTTGATGCTGACCTACTCCTGACCCTTGGACTAAACTCACATTCAAATCAAAATATCAGAGTATAGCATTATTAATGCTACCAATACAGCTCAGGAGAGACTCAAGTCTCTAGTTTTGGGACAAAAAGTTTACCCAGTGACTCTCAATCCTACTTCATCTAGGTCTCCAGGGAGAAAACCAGCTTTTAAGAATAGCTCTGCAACTTGCCTCTCGATTCAGACTATGTTACAATCCTTTCTGGCTAAAACTATCATATACCAAATCCAAATCACTGCAACAAGCACTCCTAGCCCCTTTTTATTTTTTAGGATTTGTAGACCAGTGTTTGACATCAAGTGCTTCATTTCATTTAATGACTTCTAAGTGCCCCAAACCCCATTTTTATACTTTCCTACAGAAGCGGCAAATATATATGCACAGTTCTCCAGAATTCAACTTCCGGGAGACTGCTGGGGTGGCCTCTGTGAGAAGAGACCAGGGGCTGCCCCTGTGCCAGACAAAGCCACTCTGTTCTAGCCAACATCAAAATGGACCCACTGCTGCCTAAAGCCAAGACCATCAGCAAAGCTGCTAGCACCTGTGTGATAACATTTAAGAAAGGTTAAAAAAACCCCAGTGTGCACCACTTATGAGAGATGAGTGAGGGAGAAAAAGTGAGAAACCACCCTGCAGACACCACAGTAAAGAAGGAGGGGGGCAAGCTGCTCTAGGTGGTGGAATGGAGATTCTCCTGCATCCCATGGAGAGAACCACACTGGAGCAGATTAGACACACTGCGGCCCCAGAGGACCCTATGCTGTAAGCAGGTAGACATGCCCTGAAGGAAGCTGCAGCCTGTGGAGAGCCCATACAGATGCGGGCATCTGGCAGGACCTGTGGCCTGTGAGGGACCCACACTGGAGCATTCTGTTCCCCATTAGGGAAGATGTTCCCCACACACAGAAGGACAGCACCCCATGAAGAAGACCCAGGCTGGAACAGTTCTTGCAAGAACTGCAGTCCATTGGAAATACCCACATTTGAGGAGTTTGTGAATGACTGTATCCTATGGGAGGGACCTCACACTGGAGCAGGGCAAGAGCGTGAGGAAGAAGGAACAGAGACAAAGTGTGATGAACTGACAAACTGACTGCAACCCACCATTCCTCAGCCCCCCTGCACCGCTCTTGGCAGAGGAAGTAGAGGAGTCAGGAATGAAGGAGTGAAGTTGAGCCTGGGAAGAACTGAAGGAGGGGAGGAAAGGTGTTTTTAGTTTTCCTCTTTGTTTCTCACCATGCTACTCTATTTTTAAGTGGCAATAAATTAACCTTGCCTAAGTTGACTCGGTTTTGCTTGTGATGGTAATTAGGAAGATCTCCCCATCTCTACTTTCAGCTGCAAGCTTTTCCATCTTACTTTCTCCCCTCATCCTGATGAGGAAGGTGAGTAAAAGAGCAGCTGGGTGGGTATTTGGCAGCCAGACAGATCAACCAAGCACAACTACTTGTTTGCAGACGTTGTAATGCAGTAACTTTTCCCAAAATACTATTTACGTATAACCTTTTTGGAAAATCAAAATGGAAACTACTCAGACCAAATAGTTGAGCTTATTCTCTAAGCAACCTATATTGTGTAATCACGTTACTTAGCAATACAGATTGTAATACAACATAATAGAGCTTACAGTGCAGTCCAAAATATAAGAGAATGAAGGACTTTCCTTAAGATGTAATTCAGAGGCTGATCAGAGCAGCATACTGCATACTCACAGACATACTCCTGTTGATATTTGCCACAGGATCCCTTTTTGGGCTAATCTGTTGTAATGAATAATCCTTTCCGTGATCGTTTTTGCCTCCCCAGACTACAAGCAAATGAACTTGACAGCAGATAAGTAATTACATTTGCTGTGGTTTTGTAAGCTAAGAACTGATGTTTAATATTTGTCAGCACTTTGCCATCTTCTAGACAGCAGGAACGCCTTGATGAACCCGGTAACTTCCCAAAATCTATCTCATCAAATGGTGTATTTTCAAATACATTGATAAGTAAAGCATAATAGCAAGAAGCTACTTTTAGTATTTGCTGTTTGAAATATAACTGACGCACTGCAGGTGCATGCATTTAGGATATGTATTTTGTATTAACTTCATAACGTGTTTTCTTATCAGTTACTATTTACAACACAAAAATGGGGGGGTGGTAAAAGAGGCAAAAAGAAGTACAGAAAAGCTCCTCTCTTTTGCCTGTGCTCCTGCATACTTCCACATTTCTCTTTTTACTACGTGCCTGCACAGGACACCCTATTAAGACAAATGGCCAATAAATTCTGAGTCAGGACAGCTCTATGATTTTCAACAGGTCCAAGCTGCCACTGACTACACTAAAGATCAAGAAATTCCCGTTATCACTTAACATTTCAATAAAGCAGAAAAAAGGTTGAGCACACTCACCAACTCTGGGGGCTGCATGTCATCACAGGCATCCACATGACACTGCATCATCTTCCAGACACAGCATAAGAGGAAAAGAGGAAAGAAATATAAATTAAGTCCATGTCCAGGCTTATAGGTAACTTGGCAAGAAAATGCAATACATACTGGTACAGAGAAACATTTATACCACAACAAATTTGACTTGAAAGTGGTCTAAATCACATACTTTCAAGAATCACTCCCATTTATTTTCACTTTGAAGGAACTGGTCACATCACTTTTTCCCCTCTGTATAAAGAGATTTTCCTCTAACAAAGGTGGTCAGACAGCTAATGGCAGAGCAAAGCTTGACCAAGCTTTTTTTTTGTGTTCCTTTTTTTTACTTTTTGAAGACCTTCAAGTGCCACTATATATAAAAATCTTTTCTCTCTGCTATGTGTTAAAAAAATACTTTATTTCTGCCATCCATTAGAAAATGATGCTTTAGTAGGACTGAAACAAGTAACTGTCAATGACTACCTCTGTGCCAACAGCAGGTCATGCAGGACACTGCTTCTCATGTTCCACAAATTCATTTCCATATACCTCATGTAGCCAATAACTAGATTAACAATCTACTGCTGCCTAACTATATTAGAAATTTAATTGTAGTTTTGAAGTGTGATATATACCATTTCTTTCTTTCAGCATTCTACAATTGCAGCAATTGATGTTCATTTGTACACTCAAAAACCAACTTCTCAAACAGGATATACCTTAACACAAACAACAGAATATTCTACTCTACGGACTCATCTGTGCTAGTGTCTACATCTCATGAAAGAAAGATGCATGCAGTCCTAACTGATGTAGAATTCTTTTACCATAATTTTCTCTTTTTTAACAGAGTGACCTAGGAGAGTGAAATTTTATTACTTTCTTCCATCTACATGGCTAAATAGAGGAGTTTACATTCTTCCTTTACTGATTTTTTTTACATGCTTTTTGATGTCAGATTTCTTAAACATGAAGAATGTTTTTTACTTTTTTAAGCGTATGTGCCTTTATTCAAGTGTTTATATGGCAAGACACATGTATGTACACATAGATGTACAAGTTTTAAAAAAAGATCAAAAACTAGGAAGCATGTGAAGGAGCAAAAGCGCATTAAAAGTCTGAAGACACTCACAGAAGTCCACGAAGAGACAGTCCACTTAACAGGAGACATTCTGATTTAACTCTCTATTAACTCAGGTTTTAAAATTTTTGTGTGCTTTGAAAGTTTTAGTACCTTATCAGTTAATTAAAAAAGAGGTGAAGGGATAAAATGGCTTTATATGCTTGTCCACTTTATTTTCCACCCCTCCCACCAGTATCTGTGTGCATTTCTGTACTAAAAGACCCCTGAGGATGAGGGTGTTAAAGAAAGAAATATTTGAAATACATTGTTTTTTTCACCTGTCAGAATAGCCCTTATGGTTTATAGGCATTTGATTCAGAGTAGTTGCGTAATGAAATTTATAGCTCTGTTAACAGAGAAACAACACAAGTCTGTCCTTCAGGAAGAAGCTTCAGAACAGAGATTATAAACCAAGGGAACTCTTCCAACAGCAGTGCATAATTAAGTTGCAACTGTAAGCTGGGCTAACAGACAAGTATCTTCTGAAGTGGGTGACTCTGCATGGGTAAGGGGAATGAATGTATTTTTTTTAAATCAAAATATGGTTTTTTTCATCTCAGCATTTACAAGGCTGTCAATATTGTCATATCTCTAGAATTCCAGAAAATTCAGAGTTCAGCATCTGGTTCTGAAGGTCTGCAACTAATGAATCTTTCTGCCTTTAGTGGAAAAGGGAACTGGCACAAAAAAAAAAAAATTTTCCATACATTCAACATTTCCATGATTTTGGAGATGTTCATCTGAGAAAATAATCTCTTCTTTCCTTTTACTGCATCTGTGTAAAAGAGTACTTCTGCTCTCTGAAAGCAGCCTTTCCCATGCATTGCTTAGTTCACAAACCACAGTGACGTTAGTTTACGCTAGTTTAAGTGTTTTGCTAGAGTGGTTTCTACATGAAACGAAAAGTGGCATAGGAAGACCTTACATTTCTGGCATGACATTTCCAGCTCCAGCCTCACAATCCACATGAAGACTTACGTATCTGCTTACACAATTTACGACACCAGGATCATGGCTAACTAGAACTAGAAATTAACTACAGTCTTTGTTGGGAAGCCCTTGCTTTAAGCAGGCTGATACCTATCATAAAGAAGCCAAAGCCATGAGCAGCTCCACTGTGAAGAGGAAATAAAATTTCTTTTGGGACAAAAAAACCAAGCAGAGATGACTCCACTGACTTGTAGAAACTCATGTCAAGAAAGCAAATGTCAGCCTCATAAAAAGTCAGGCTAAACAAGTCAAAATGGATTTTCTATTCTAGCTGTAATAGAATAAAACTAAAACAACACTACTGCCCAAAAATCAAGCTAAGTAAGACTGTGCTCAACCAGATACCCAATGAAAGGCTGGCTGCTCAGTTTATATGCTCTAGCACTGTCTTTATTAGCTGCAAATATAAGAACACAAGAACTGATCTTTGAAATACAAATACAGAATCTTGGAGGTGTACTTGTCAATTCTTCCAGTTTCTTAACATGTAGAGTAGCATGGGCATGTAACTGTGCAAATCTTTCCCTTTAATATTTCTAGTAAGCATGTGACATTCTTGCAATACATACTTCCAGTAACTCTTACTCCCAATGTGTAAAGCCCCATTTAGGTAGCCCATTTCATAGCTGTCCTCCACTCCTTTCTCTTGCACTCATTAAAAGCAAAAAAAAAAAAAAAAAAAAAAAAAAAATCTTGTCTCACCTGACATCTTAAAGAAGGTGCCAAACAAAGTCCAGAGGACAAAAGAGTAATATTACTGTAGCTTTACCTCCTGGACATATATGATTTCTCTTCCCAGGAAAGAGGAATCTAATACAATAGTAAATGACTGCTACAAAGTAGCATTTTGGAATACAATATGGAAGAGTATCTTAAAGCCTTTTTTTAAGCCCCCATATACTGTTAAGAGGTTTGGTTTTTTTCCTCAGCAAGTATTAGCGTTAGTGTGGTTGATCACATGTAATTTCATTTTAGGTTCAGCTTAGCAGTAGCCCTAGCTCCAAACATTTGCTATTACAGTAGATTTTTTTCAGAGAGTGAAACCAGCAAATAGACAAGAATTGATTCGAAAGAGCAATCCCCTTCCAGATCCAACTAGAGCTCTTAATTCTATCTATATTCACGTTTTCCAACATTAGCGTTAAAAATGCTTATATGAATAAAAGAATTTAAGAGAACATTGTTCTGACATGTTTTCATTATCTGAAAAGCCTACCAATTCCCATTTCTGTCATTCTGATTTAAAAAAATCTGAAAGATGGTCAGTGCAAGAAAACCTGCAGGGTAGAGCACAGTCCAACTTTCTGTATCATTTTTGATGGCAGAGAGGAAAAGAAAGAACAAATCGTGTCTCAGATACCACTTACACCCCAAACATTCCTCCACAGGAGGGACCATTTTATCACCTAAACCATGCATGTCCCACACCTAAGTAAATGTGTTCAGCAACAGTATCTTCAGACAGTCAGCATGCTAACTGTGCTTACAAAACAGAACAAGGCAAATTTTAAACTCATACCATGCCATCGTAACGGTCTCCCGGTCTGCCCCTTCGGTCATAGGACATAAGATCTCTAAAATGAAAAAAGCAACAGCACATGAATTGCGTTATAAACTAGTTTATGTATTCTGCTTTAAGTTGTGTGTGAAACATGAGTGTGAAAATTTAATTTCAAACTAATTTCAAACTACTCTAGCCAAGTACTGAATGACATAAAAGTTTCAGAACTACTGACTATAGTATTGACAGATTACTACAGTGCAGCAAGTAATTAAATTCCACCACTTTTCAAAAGACTCTGGTATAATACACACTCAATCCTGCATAATCATTACCGACATGGAAATGTGGAAAACACACTGGGAAAAGGAACATGATTCAGCAGACTGTACACAACCTGAGTTTTATGTAACGCATTTATGCAACAACTCACCCGCCACGAGGAGGTGGTGGAGGTGGAAGAGGAAGATTACGAGCTCTGCTGCCACCTCTACCACCACGACCTGGTGGAGGTGGTGGAGGTCCTCTGCGAGGGCTCATATCATCATAATCTCTTCTTGATGGAGGCATAGGTCGTCCACCACGACCAGGGGGCATTCGATCAAAACCTCCTCTTCCACGCATCGGAAAGCCTACTGGACGTCCCCTTCTATCATCAAACATCATTGTGAAGCCACCATAGTCATATGTTTCATCATAGAAATTGGGATCATAAGGCTGGGCACGTCCTTTAATTGGAGACTAAAACACACAAACAAAAAAACAAACCCCCAACCCAATTAAGACTATTACAATTGGCATATTAAATATATTGAATGTTCAAATATAAATTTATACATTTGGAACATGTTCTCAATTTCACAATGCTGGTAAGAAAGGAGATGGTTATGTGCTTCCTGTGAATTTAACTATGATAAACTGCTCTTACTTATCAGTGGCAAAAAAAAAAAAGTGTCTCCCTTCCCCTTCAATTTTTGCATCTTAATGATATGCAAAGCATGAATAATGGTCCACTAGTGTCAAAAACTGCTTTCCTCAGCCAGTTACAGTCAGTCAATCACTTTGTTACTGGGAAAGCAGGAGGTACTGAATTCAAAATAGAAACTGAAAGATAACGTTTTTCATCCAAATGATCCTTAACATTCATGAATGCCAATGAAAGAACAAAATAAATTTAACAAACACTACCTCAGAGATAAGATCCAAGATAATCTTGATACATTCAACAACTCTATCAGGTTTTCCACCAATAAGCACCACTCTGTCAGTAGAATGAGGACAACACTCTTGAAAGAGCTTAATGGTGGTCTGAGTGTTCTGTTGAAGAAAAAAAATATCCAAGATTGTCTAATATAAGTATCTTAAACAACTTTATATACTCATTAAAACATTTTTAAAGAAACAATCCAAAAGACAATTAAATTCCCAACCATTTTAAGTGCATGCTGGCTTCTGAATTCTCACAACAAATTTAATTTAGGATTACTTTTTTTTAAGATTTCTACTGACATAGTTTTGTATGAAGAGGAAAAAAGTTCCATTTTCTCTTCTTTCAATTATGTCCCATTTACACCATCATTTAATTAAATACTAGCAAAAGGAGCACATATCCGTTGTGAGCTCGCAGGTTGTATTAACCTTCACGTGTCAAGTAAACATGCTTTGGATGCAAGGATTATGTCTAGTCATCTTGCCTTTCTCAATCCACGCAAACAGGCACCAGCTTATACCTGAACTGACCTGAAACTGCTCTGACACAATGCCAAGGAAGGACAGAAAACAGAGGGGTTTTAAGTTCATAGAGACTGTTAGCTTTTTAAAATCTCATTCCTTCACTGAAAGAAAACAATGGTCTTCAAGGAGGTAGAATTTAAAAAAACACCAAACAAAAGCCCTTTTGCCCTTTCTAGTAAAATTCAGACATCTATTGAATTATCATCATAATAATTTGTGGGGATGCATTCACCCTAAACCATTTTGCATGTCCAGCCACAGGAATAAATCTAGTCTGTGCAAGAGTTCATTCTAGGAGGACGGATGAATGCTATTTTAATTGAAAAGAAGAAAATACCCTTCTTTAAAAACACTACCATGAATATTGCTTAGAAGCTTGATAAGAAGTCCTACGCTCTCTATCACCAACAATGACTTTACTTTTGGAAAGGTTTGAAAGAAAATTTCAACTAACATCCATCTCAGAACATCAAAATCATGTACGCAGCATGCCCTGAAGGAATTACTGCACGGAAGATACTTATACTTGCCCCTTATGAACACAAAACACAAGTTGTTTACTGAACAAAACCCAAATCTCAGAAGAACAGTAAGCAAGTACCTCTCTGAGTTCTTTAATTTTAGCACCCTTGACACCAATAATTCCTCCTGCCAAACTTTGGTGAATGAGAAGTCTTAATTCGCAGTCAAAGTCGCTGCCTTTGTAGTGTTGATACTGTAAGAAAGATGCATAGAAAGAAAAGAACAAAGTATTAGTCATAATAATTAAATAAATAATTTTTATTTACATAAAAATGTAAAATATTTGGAGTTTTGTTCAGTTTCTTCTCCAAACATAATGGTATGACTTTATTTATTGCTGAATTGTAATCCTGTATTTCCTTTGCTAGGATCACAACTATTTAAGCACCTCACCTCAACATAAACTTATGTCAGTTCATACGTTTTGGGGTTCCCCCCCCTTTATTACATTACATTGTACAACTTTCTAAAAAGATTCAAGATGATACCAAACAGCTCACCACTCTTACTTACAAAGCTAACGCTGGAAACAAATGACAACTACTTCAAAATGGGCACTAAACAAGTCACGAGGTAAGTATTTTGAAAGGGGGGAGGCTGTTCGAAATGTTAATTTAATGAATAGATTGACTTTGTCCTCTACAAAAAAATGCCAACATGTAGTTTGAGAGCCATAATCCTTTAAAAGGATTTTGGTTTTTAATTTCTAATTTACTGTATTTAAAAAGCTGCAAATCATCTATAACCATCTTGTTTCAAAAGCTAATCTTTTGCCTCTAAAAAGAAACAAACATTAGGAGACGTACCTCTTCTAAAGTAGGGATAATCTTCTTCAAGATTTCTCCAATTGTCTCTATATCTGCACTTATACTCAAGATGCTGTTGGAGGCCATAATACCAGACATGGAGAAGGTGGAAAAGAAGTAGTAGAAGTAAATTTTTTTCATCATCATACACAAAAGTCTAACAATATTTACTACACAGAAGAGCTTACAATTAGTATTCCCCATTTAAAGTAAACCTGTTTGCTCAATTTAAAACACATGCATCTTTGTTTATGCCCAATATATATGCATGATAAATTTAAGATTAGGTAGGTCTTGCAGAGAGAGAGAGAAAGACAGACAGAATGGGCTTTTGGAAGGGCTCAGATTAAGTGGGCAAGAAATTGACGCAGAACTGAAAGTAGAAGTGAACATTCATGTTCCCCGCCACCACTAATTTAGGATACCCTCGCTAGTACATTGGTAAAACTGGCACACCTCATAGAGAAAGTGGGGATATGCAATTGGTGAACACTGTATCTAGAGTAAGGTTATGAGACCAGTCAGAAATTAGATTACTAATGCGCTCTCTAAGAAAACAAATACAAATGCAAGACAAAAAAAAAAAAGACAAAACAAATGAGAAGTGAAGGAAAGTGACCAGAGTTAGCATTTCATCAGAAATAATTATGAACAGGCAATGTTGAGGGGAGCAAGGTGGGCCACAAAAACAGAGCGAGAGAGTATTTTGAAACAATCTGATTTACAATGCAGCGAATATGCAACACTTGAAGCTGTGCTCCTTCCATTGAAATAAAATTAGTGGATTGTTTGGGTGGGCAACTCACGTAAAAGTTCAGTGACAAAAAGACTTAATGGGGAAAATAAGACAGAAAACTTGAAAAAAAACAATACACCGTCTATAAGGGGATACTATTTAATTATATCAAAGGCAGGTAATAAAATACATTTCTCTCTTTCTAATCAGGCAGTGAGGCATAAACTGTTGGGACATACCGCTCGGGGCCACTGCTGTCTGGGACTGAAACACTGGCATTGTACTGCATTGGTCATTGGCGTTCGTGGATGTTGGCATTGGGCATGGGTATTCAATCGGAAGTTGTCAAGTATGGTACCCGTTTGGCAACGAGCACATTTTTGGGCATAGCCAACCAGGGTTTTCACATGGGCGTTCAGGGGCGGATGGGCCAACGTCATGGTGGGCAACGCAGGGGCAAGTCGATCCAGTACATGGGCAACGGAGATATATGGCCAAAAAAACAAGGAGAGGGAAAAGGGGGAAAAGCAATAAATTTTAATTTAATACAAACTATACCCATTACTCTCAATTAATGAAACAAGCTTAAGTTGTTCTGAAGACTAACACAATAACGGATTGCTACACCGACTGTGGCTTAACAGTATGGACCTTAAAATTGAGTCACTTGACCTGACTGAACTGCTTTTTACTTTTTACATATGTTTCAGTAGCAGGCTGGCTCATGAGGGTAGACACAAAACCTGTCAAGAGTGATATAACTAGAACCTTGGGCAAATCGGGAAAGTTAGTTTTCCAGACCAACGTAAATGATCTGGACTTAGGTGACGTATTGATTTACTTCAAAAGCCAAAAAACACTACCCTAAAAAAAATCCCAAAAACAACTAGCTGCCAAAGTTAGTGAGCATATGTAAGATTCCTGACCATTTCAACTTCAACCTCAATTCTAGTTACGGTAGTTTATGAACTTAGTTGGAACGGATTTATAATGATATATTGCCAAATCTTGTGTTGAACAGAGTCTTGATTGGAAAAACTGTTGAAATTGTAGCTGATGTTAAGTACAGGAGTGTAAACAAATGGAATTTAAGAAGCGTTGCCGAGTTTTATAAATACACAACATTAACACTGAGCATGTGTCTAATCACAAGAGTCAACCCACTGTAAAATGTGAATAGGCAAGTAAGTCATGACCATTTAAAAATGCTTCCAAGTAACAGAATAGGATGTTCCTTTACTGTTCTATTCCCGCATTTAAATCAAGCAACCTTAACATTAATGCTTTTATGTTTCATGTGCAAGCTGTTAAAGAACAGATGGACCATTTTGTTTGCTTTTTTTAAAGGAAGTTAAAGAATTCCTCTATCACTGGGTTAAGCCAGCCACCTGCAATGGTTTCAGCAGTACTATAATGGATTCACACATATGGGAAATGGTGTAATTAAGGATTTTAAGCTTTGTCAATATTTATAATTAGAATGTTAACTCACTTGAAGTGTGTAATTTAGCGGAATCCTATTCAAAAGTGAAGAGATTTAATATAAACCTCTCCTCCCACATGAGTCAAGCTGGGTTTTAATTACAATAGAAATTGAAGAACTAAGTTATCTACTCTAACAATCATTACAAATGGTTTGTAACTAGACTATAGATGTCTAGAGTTGAATTGCTCCCATTTCTAGAAATGCACGCAACCAAGCTTTTGATGTAGTGCTCTGAAAGAATTGGTGTTAAATTAGTTCAAACTCATATATACTCACGTCTGTACGAAGTGCCTTAATATTTTTGCCACCTTTTCCAATCACTGCTCCAGCGTTCTGGAAAATAGTTTTCAAAAGTCATGTTATGCCAACACAGCACAGACTACGTTTTTGAGCTCTAAGACTAAGAACGGTAAATGTGTTTTTTTATTATGCTGTTGGCTGAGGGAGTGGGGGCAGGCAGGCACTGCTTTTGAAAGGTTCAAATCAAATTGAAACAAACTAATATAGTTTGTCCATGGAAAAAATGATCAATTGCTCTTACCACTGAACTTAGGAAGGAGAAGGATATTCAGTTTTGCAACTAGTATTTCAATTCCAAATGGAAGTTTCTAGGCAATTCTGCCTGTGTTAAAGCAATCTCATACACTATAGCTCTCAAAAAATTATACTATATAAATGTAATGTAGGTCAATGATTTCCCTAATTTATTTAATCAACTATTTTTTTTTCTTAAGGAATTTGTTTGCATGTTGCATTTTTGCACTCCAAAACATTTCTTGATAACTTCGAGTGTTAATTTTGGTTTATACATCTGTAACTTAACTGACTTCTCAGAGCAGTATATTTTGAAAAAGGTTAAAGCCAATGTTAACAGTCACTAACACTTTTTTTCTAATATCAACAGGAATAAACTGGCAGACAGTCACAAACTGTAATTGCAAAACTCTTATTTTTACCAGGTTATTTCAAGGATTACATGCAAAAGCACTGCTTCTCTTACACAGATTATACATTATGCTAACAGCATGCAAAACATTTTGTGATACTCCACGTAACTTGACTATTGGTCAGAAATACCATGCAGAGTTAGGGTAACATTCCTCCATGCCAACACAAAGACTGAAATACTTCAGGAAGTACAAATCATCTGTAACTACTGGAAAAACCAGAGGAGATTCATACATAGCAACTTTACTGTAACTATTTATACTTGTCAACAAAACCACTGCAATCCCAGAAGCACTACTCCCACATTTCTTCCTGTAGATATACTTGAACAGGTTTAGTAGATCTGTGTGAGAGAGTTACTAAAATCCTAAGTAAGTTCTCTTCTTACCTCTCATATTTGATTTACAATCACTAGCTGATCATTCTCTAAACTGCCTCCTTTCCAAAGATTAATACACCGTCATTTGCTAAGAACACTTAATAATTTCTATTGCTCTATTTTTTCAGCAAGTACGTCTTTTAAAAATAACGGTATTGATCCACAGGGACTCACCCTTTAAAAGAACCACTGAAGATAATTCCATCACAGTACACTGTTACTGCCATTCACACACACTTTGTTATTCCTAATAAGCTATCTCATAGTAAATGAAGTACATGTTCTTTCTAAACATGTATCCCAACATACTCTCTGTCACCACGGTCTTGAGCAATGCTATAAGCAAAGACAGTAAAAACAAAAAAGCATACTTTGCTCTGAAGCAGGATGCGCAATTCAACCATCTCATCTGTGTTCCGAGATCTTTTGAAGGCCTGCTCTTCCTCCATATCTTCTGCTGGACGTTTGCCTGTAGAGAGGTCCATAGGGGGGAAACACAAACATTTATTTAACTTTCTAAGTCATAATAAAATGGAACACATACCAAATTCATGCTCTGCATTCTTAACACATTATCTCCTATTAGCCCAGCACTCGTTACTGATGCCTACTCTGAGTATCCATAGCACAGAAACAGGTCTTTACTTACTTTACTCAGCTTACGTATCAATTAACAACTGAAATATCCATTAAAATCTACAAACTATGGTTTAAACGAGAATGTTGCACACAGCCAGTGAGAAATTCATGACACGCTGTTTAAACAGTGCAGTATCTCCCACAGTATTTATTTACAATTCTGAAAAACCTTTCAGGCAACAAGATCAAATGTAGTTTGTGCAACAGTGAAATACTGGTGGAATTACAGTAAAGTAGCACTTCAAAAACTGTTTGGGAAAAACTGGGATGAATCAATGACACTAATGCCCTAACTTCCTCACTAATTATGTCAAAGTTTTTCATGAAGCTCTTTAGATGTATTTTACATATTTATAGCCCTATGTGTAAAAACTGCGATAAACAAAATACAATTAATGGATATGCCTGACAGTATTCTTACATATTCACACTCTCCACACAAGGACTGAATATTTAACTATGAAATATTTTCAAATACTTATAACTTTCAGCTACTTATCCCATGTCTAAAACATGCCCACAGAAAGATGATGCATTTATGCTTCTAAAGCATGTGTAATGACACAGTCTAATTAAAAATTAAAAGATTTAATGCAGAATGCAAAACTACTGCTGATACAAACATCTGATACAGTTAAAGCATCACAAAATATTTAGAAACATTGAAATTTACAGAGGTTATTTCTAAAAAGAAATAGTCCTTTAAAACATTTACCATTTGTCTCTGTGTTGGTAAAGGTCTCTTCCTGTTGTTCAGTCTCCATTGCCTTTTTTTCTTAAGTGGGCAGGCAAAACCTGTTGAAGAATAAAAAAGCCTGTAGATCTACTTTGTGAAAACGCAAACTGTACATCATGCTAAAAGGAAAAGGCAAAAAGTAATGCCTGCTTCTAGAACTTACCACTACTATATATCCTTGCAGAGAAAAACTCAAGTATTCTGGGCGGGATCAAAATTAAACAGCCTATTGCTTCAAGAGCCTATAAAAACAGCATGTATCAGTTGTAACTCTGCTTGCTTTACAGCTCCTATTCTCACTAGGGCCAAAAACCAGAGGTTTGACCTGAGTTTTTGCTGCAAAGTTTTTCCTTAATAAAAGGGAAAGCATACCCAGACCAAACACACTCCTAAGAGCAGATAGATAAAAGACAAGTCTGTAAACTGAGATAAACAATTACTGTCTGAATTATAGTTTTAAGTAACCACAGTTACTAAAAATTATTTTCAGATATTTGAAGTGAACATGTTATATGCTACATGACTTGGATTTACTTTTTAAAGGACACTACGTTAACAATCTGCTCCTGCTGCTTGGTTCTAAACTAAAATACGTCCTATTATGGAAATTGTCAGCATTAGTTTTATAAATTCTCTACCAACATACTACCAGGCATTTTGGCATGCCTTCCACTCAAGTGTAAAAGATGAGCAAACAACAAACTACTTCTAGACACACTGGGAAAAAAAATCTTTTAAAAATACCACCCTCTGCGTTACATGTATTCCTCTGCACACACAACCAAGAACCTCAAAAGCAGATGAGCTTCACTATGACGTTCCAAAATAGGTATCTCATTTGTGATCTGCTTTTGTTAAGCTGATCTCAGAATATTATTGTCATATTAAAGAGAAATCTAGACAAAAGTAGTAATTTTGCAACTTATTCTCTTCAAAAATGTATTCCACAACACAGCCAGTCACGTATTTCCTCCTTGTATAATTACTAATTTCCATTGCCTCAACAAACAGTACACTCACTATGGTATCCACGAAGAAAAAAAATAAAATAGATGCATATTACTTTTTAAACACACTCACAGCCAGCTGTTAATTTGCAATCGTTGCCCCGCTTGTACAGGCTAACAGCAGGTACTGCCGATCGGTGCGCTTGCTTACAGCCAGCTGCTGCTGAGCGACTGCCTTCCCAGCACACACTGGTCTTTCCAGGCACTTAAGAGAGCTAACGGACACACACAGACTTAATGACAACGAAATGTCTGACAGACGTTGCCAAAACGCTGTTATGCGGGGGGAGAGTAGAAAAGGGCCGGGCAGATTTTTACACGGTTTAAACAATCCCTTCAGATCCTGGTTATTCTATTTCCAATCACCTCAAGAATAGGGCTGCGGGGAGTGGACTGTACTACACTGTCCAGATCTTAGTCTCCCCTAGTCGCCCATATTTACCCGCGTGACCAAACCCCCCCAAGCCGCGCGTACGGAAA